AGCAAAGACTGGGGCTTTGGATGCAGCACAGGTGAGAGCATACGCAGAGCAAACAGGATTTGATGGCACTGACGCAGACTGGGAAGAACAATTTGCAGCTATGTGTGAGCATTTCGGCTGGTCGCAGAGTAGTGGCATCACACGAAGCCAGTTCAACGAGCTAATCGAGGATGATGACGAGACAGACGATGATGAGCTTCGACAGGCCCTGCTAAACTTGCAGATGCAAGTCGGCAAGAGCAGCAGGCCGTCCGTCGTGGGATCGTCATGGCAGCGAAAAAGCCTGCTGCATTTGCCCAACGTGGACAGCACGAAGAACATGTCACGGTCGGAGATGACATCCAACCTTTTTTCGCTTCTCGACACGTCTGGAAGTTCGAGGCTTTCATCAGCACAGCTCAGAAAATTTGCAGAGGCGAGCGGCTTCGAAGGTGATGCTGATGAGTGGGCTAGCCAGTTCAACTCCATGTGTGAACACTTCGGCTGCAACCCTGCTGATGGTGTCTCCCAGCCCGAGTTTCTAGAGTTCATTGGTGATGAAGTTGAACACAGCGATGAAGAACTCCGCCGTGTGCTAGTCAGTTTGCAAGCGCGGGCGTAGCTGCGAGCTCACTGCTGCGAGAACTTGTCAATCTGCAACTACTGGAATGTGCTGGAGGTAACGTCATGATGGCCGAACATCGAAGGTCGGCAAGGTGCAGGGACTGGATAGTGAGACGCAGGCGATGCACTTGAGCGCTCGCCGTCTTTCAATACAAGAGCCGCCAGCCCAATCAGGCGGGGGGGGGGTGGTGCACGCAAGGTGATGTGTTCGTGTGATGTCCCTTGATTTGAGATACAGTTTTGTTGGTAGTCTGTACTTCCTTCGAAATTTCAGAACCATTTTGTGGCCTGGCAGGTCACGCCCTCACGCAGACAGAGCCAAGGCAGATAGAGCAGTGCAATAAAGCATTGTCACCGCCTTTTAAGACCAGAGGGTTTCCGATAATTAGTTACCACAGATGCCTCTTGTCAAACGTCATGGGTGGTGTTGATCAGGGGAAGCGGTTAATATGCATTCATCCGAAAGCAGCCCGGTAGTGCAGCCTAATGCAGCCGTTCTACTCAAAGCGTGGGAAAAGCCCTCCCCATTCTTGTTCCTTCTCATTGCCCTACTTGCTTGTTGCAAGTTCTCCGTGGCCTCGACCTCAGCATATAATACTGTGCAATGTTGCTTTGGATTCGGGCGCGGACGTGCTGCATTCGGCTTCAAGAGGGTTTGCAGGACTTCTCCAGCCAAGCGAAGCATTGTCTCAAATTCGTTACCCTCAGGTATTCAAGTATCATCATGAACTTCAAGATTGTGGCTTTGCACATGGTGTGCCTATTTTGTGCGCTTGCTGACACTGATGATGTGCTGGAGGAGCCTCATTCAATTGAGGCTTGTCATTGACACGGCAGCAATGTGGCCGTCTTCTCGTTGTTGCAAGTTTCGTCCGTACCCTAACGGCCGTTTTCCGCAATAATGAAGTGACGCAGGATGCTGACCTCTTGGCAGCTGTGGAAGCGGAAGATTGCTTCAGCGAGGACCTGGTACTTTTGACATATGAAGCTGCGATTTTGCAGGCCATTTGTGGGTTCTATGTTAGATCTGCTTGAGGTTGAGTGTCAGTTTTTACGCCTTTGGCCAGGACTGCGAAGGTGCGGGGCTTGCTTTGGCTCAACTGCGGGCTACATACTTGAAGAATCAGGATCCGTCTGGGGCCGTGCACTCTTGGGCCGTGCACCAACGCAGCATGCTGCCAATGTGAAGACCCTGAAGGCGCCCAAGTACCAGTACTTCGGAGACTTCGGAGTTGGAGATGACCTCAATTTCGATGCCGCCCTCCAGGACTGAAGGTCTGAACCGTGTGTTGCTGGTTGCTGGCCTATAGGCCCTACCGTCTCTGCAGCCATCTGCTTTTGCCGCGGCAGGAAGATGCTGAAGCCGGCATTGCCTTTGTGCAAACATCTGCCAAGTTGGTCACCAGGGAGTCCAGTTCTCTTGTGGTGAGTGCGGATGGGACTGTGCAGTCTAGCGGTGTTTCTGAGCCAGCATCTCCGTCCAGCCGCACATCCTTTGCCGTGACTGCAGATGGGCGGATGCATATGGAAATGTGACACCTTGGCATCTCACTCCGCTCAGAGCTGGCATCTCTTGGCATTTCGTTGTTTCAAGATTGCTTGCTGTGGTGGCATCGGTTTAAAACTGCTGCCTTGCCGGGACTGCCAATCCGCGCCCCCCTTAGACTACTCTTGATCTCCTGAGAGAATCTTGACAGACCTGACAGCGCGTGCTGCGCGATAAGAAATTCACAAAACGTGATATGCTTGCGCATGCTGGCATTTTCATGACCTGTTTACCGCACGATTTCGATGTTGTGTTCAAGTGCGAAAGGTCTTGTCGACGTCCTGAGTCTTGGTGCAGGGGTTGTTTCGAGCACCAGTGATGAGCTTCAGAAATGACAGACTTGCATCCTTGTGTGTGCGGAGCTGTGTTGATTATTGGAGCAATAAGCAACTAAAATGCAACGTGCTTTGTTGCGAAAATGGCTCAAGAGCAACGTTCTCTAAAGGTTACGGCCAGCCAACAGGCCTTGGAAGTGGGTGTGATGCAAAAGCTGTTCAGGGGACTGCGAGCTGCCGTTTCAGGCCGCGCCGGTCCCATGACCGATGCGGAATGGGCGGTCCGGCTCTCGCCTTTCTCACTGCAGTAAAGTTGTAGCACCTTAGGCGACTGGCCTTCCAGCAATTTTTACTGCAAGTCCATATGAGTGCTATGCAGGCAAGCATGCGCCGGGTTCTCGGCCCACATTTGGAGACCATGGCTTCTGAGGCCACGGGAGCCTCTGTTCCTTTGCCTTAACTTCGTCTATGCTATTTGGTCCCTGGCAGCATGACAGGTCCAGCAATCTTGGGGCCTGCTGCCTGGCTGTTGCAAATTTGCAAATGCTGAGGAAAGCCAACACAAGCAGCCCTCAGGTCCTGAGGTTGATCCCGAGGCCATGTTGCTGAGATGGTGCTGGCCTCAGGGCAGAGATCTGTTGGCATGTTGGTGCTGGGTAACCTTGCAACTGGCACAGTGAATTCTTGAGGTTATGCCAGCGGCATAACTTGGCCTGGCCCCCGGTGGAAATGACCTGGTTTCATGGCATTCCTTCTTTTGCTGTCAGGAAGTTCCACCTATCTCCGTGCGGCGAAGGCAGAAAGCCGAAGCAGCCAGGCCATTCAATCTGGCTTTGCCACCAATGGTTCATGTGTGCCCTAGCAAGCGATTCTTTGATTGAACGCCTTCCTGCGCAGGGGATCTGCAGAAGACAGCGACGAGCCTTTAGCTCGTGCTTGTCTTGTGTTTTTCAGACCGGACAGGGCCAGGGCAATATGTCTGATCGTTTTGCAAAAGTGTTTGCACGTATTTTGAAGCTTGACTTCGCAGCCCTGACCTCGAAGCGCGTATTCATCAAGTTGTTTCGGCAGGCTGTAACTTCAATCGGCTTAGTAGGCAAAAGGTAGCTGTTTGCCTTATTAGTAAGCATCGTGAGGCAAGTCTCTTTTGAATCTGCATGGGACCTTTTTCAGCAGCCTTGCTTGCTGGCAAGGTCTTCAGCGAGGCAGCAAGCACCCCACAGTGCGAGGCCTGAAACAGCCCTCCGTTTCGACAGAATTTATACAACAGGTCGCTTATCTCCTGTAAGGAGTTAGTTTGTTCAAAGAGATGCTGAACAAGCTCTTTTGTATAGCAGGGCTTTCAAAAGAGCTTTACACCTTCTCCCTGAAGGGCCGAGCCTTCAAAGCTGTGAGCTGAGAGCCGTGGTGGTTTTGTGAATCAAAGCAACAGGTTGATGTTTGTGACAAGCATGCACGGGGAGCCATTACTGGCTTGCTGTGCCAGCTGGTTTTCAGAATACCTGCTTTTCTGGATTCCTTCCACGCTTTCATTCGCAGGCATAGCGAAAAGGGTTTCTGTTAAGGCAGACGTGTTTGATCCTCGAATTCAACTCTCAGGCCGAAGGCGAAGGAGCCGCAGCCTCCGAATAGCGCTAGGCACGGGGCCATTTCTGACAGCATGGCCTGAAGATGCCTCAGTTGCTGGGCGACCTGCTTGCGTTTGTTCAGCATGACGGCAGAGTTCACGCTTGCTTTGGTCAGGCTGCCTCCCATAGGAAACAGGCATACCGAAGTTTCAGCCTCAGATGATCCGGAGCCTTCCCCAGCTTTGCCTACGCCTTCCAACTCGAAGGTCAGCTCTAATGCCCACAAGCGGAATCGTTCTTTTGTAAGCTTTATGCCCTTGTAACAAGCCGGGATGAGCCGTGCCTCGTTCTTGAGTTTCCTCCTCACATGCTTCAAACGCTTTGTATTCCGTTCCGACTATGCTACAGGCGAAGCGCGCCAGTCCAGCAGAGTGGAGGCCTGGCCCAGGCCAGAGCCTCCCCATCCTGGAGGAGGAGTCCGAGGCCTCGAAGGGGATCTTCCATGATGTTCCCTTCTGTGACGTGAGGCTACGCTCAAGATGCTTGGGTATTGTTGCCGCGACATATCAGGAAGCCTCACATGCTAGGCGTACTTTTGCGGGGTCCCTTGCTATCTGGAAACCTCAGATTTTTGAGAGCAAAGGCTTTGCACTTTCCAGGGCTCGCCTACCTCTCCGTCTCAGTCACCGAAGCACCAGCTCTCAGCACCAGCAATGGCGCTGGATCTTGGGGCTGGATGCCCAGATTTGATCGCGCAAGGGGTTTTCTAAAGCTTGCATGCTAGTTGAGAAACCCCACCAAGTTACAATCTTGAGAATGCACCTCGTAGGATCTGCTCTTCACTGGTCTAGCAAGTAAGGTCAAAGCTCTGACAACGAAGCCTTGGAAGTCAAACCTCAGCATCAACTTGCCTGAGCTCGTGGCCCAGCTTTGGTTCAAAATGGTCCCTGAGATTAGCCCTTTCAGACGTCTATTGATGACCGTGCTTGTGTTGGAAGAGTTCCTCCGCTGTTCCATACCAACCCCAGCAATGCTCGAGGTGCAAGCCCTGGGAGAGGACCCTGCAGACCGTCCAGGACAGAGTTGTCTCGGACGAGCGCAGGTGGGAAAGCAGACTGGGGCCTTGGGAAAGGATTGGAGGGATTTTTGGGTTTGTGCATTTCGGCCGGGACTGAAGCGAATGGTTGCAATCCTGAATCCTTGCATGTCCAGTAGAATCCCTACAGAATTTTGCGGAACCCCTTCAGATCAAAAAATGGGACTTGTGTAGGCACACCAGCCACTCAGAGCTCCTCAAGGCTAACAATCAACGTGACTCCGCCAGCATTTGGACGGTGTGGTTGTGATCGTTAGTTTGTGAGTCCTTTTGTGCTTGCTGTTCGAAAATGTTGTCACAATTGTTATGATGGTTGTGATGATTGCGCTTTGTGATGATTATCGTTGCCAGTGTTAGGCAGTGCTTTGTGTTCCGGTGCCGTGTGGTGCCGGTGCTCTGCCAGCCCTTGCAAACCCAAGGTATGCACGATATGATGGCATACATGCACCAGGAACGTCTCAGACAGCTTCGCTCTGTGTACTATGATTGCATTGCCCAAAGTTAGCCTAGCTGTTCATTTCAGGAAATGCGCGGGCAGTTTTTGTCCAAGGCTCGTATCATTTGGAAAGCGAACTTGTAGGTTGTGCTTCGCTTTCTGAAAGGTGCCACTATTGTCAGACAAAGTTCTGGACGCCAAAACGCAGTTTCGGCATCTTGCTGAGAATTTGCTGCGCTTTCAACTGGTGCTGCCATAGAGTGTCATCATGTCACTGTTTTTTGTCGCGCTGTACAGATGACCATGCTTTGCAAGCAGACTCTTCGGCTCACATCATGTGACGTTAGAATGCTTTAGAGCAAGCCTCCTCGCCGATGCAGAGCCGCTTGTCATAGCGAGAATCGCCTTTTCAACGGACCCAATGCTGTGTTAAGGGTCAAGTTCAGGCGAAATGATTGCGGACGAGGCGGAGAAGCCGGAAAAGTCTGAGAAGCCACTGGTCACCTTCGAGGGTGAGAGTGAAGCCAATCGCATCGTTCAGGAGCGCGTGGACAGCTTGAAGCTTATGGATGCGGCTTGAGACTGGTGGCCAGTGCTGCCATGCAGGAGATCTGCAACAATGCCAAGGTCCAGGAAAAAGTCCGGGCTCAAGTAGAGGTGCATCTGCAGAATCTCCATGAGACTTGCGCATGATTGACTTGTGCTGCACAGGCAAAGGCAAAGGCTTCCCGAGCTGAAATCAGGATGGAAAAGCTTACAGCCCTTTGTCAACAAAGGTGATTTTGCTTTTCAGCCTCAGAGCTATTGCTTTGCATGCCTAAGGCCAAGAGATATAGATATTCCTCCGGTCCCAAGGACACGGAGTTTTGGGTAAAATGCCACTTGGCTGCAGATTTGAGTCTGACGCTCTAAAGCAGAGAGGTGGTACTTGTATCAATGATCAGGTCAGATAAACGAGAATGACCCACCGGACTTCGTCCATGTCCTGCTAACGCAGGAAGAGAAGCAAGCTTGCCATGCAAAGATTGCAAGCACAGCAACGCTACGATTTCTGACTGGTGCCATGTGTGCAGGAATGGCGGGTCAAGGATGTGAAGTTGTTTGAAAGAGTTGCAGCTTGGCTTGTAAGGCACAAGCAATGCAAGCAGACCTCGCTATGTCCAGAGACAACGTGGATGAAGCCAACAGAATCCTGCCATTAGGACTCGAAGATCCACGGATAGGATCTGCTTCGAGGCTTGCCTTTTGTTGACAGATCTGGGGACTGTAAAGGGCGTCAACACCTGCAGCTTGCCCACAGACATTATTGAGGTTGATGGAGTTGTCCATGGCGGGCAGAGCGCTTGCCAACGGTCTGCAAATTTTGTCTCACCTTTTGATAATGCAGAAATTCGACTGCCCCAAGCACAAGGGACTCTGGCATCGGTTGCTCAATGCAAGTTTACGCCAGCTTAATGCCTGACTTGAGCTCACGCTCGAGCTGTGATGCGTTGATGGCGAAGCCATGTACAGGATAGGCGCAGCATCATGACTTTGGGGAGGAGAGAGTCGCAGTCAACGAAGAGGATTGCTTTGCTTGCATTCCAGAATGATCAGACGGGAGGGTTGCTTGCGCTGTATCCTCCATGCTGTTTGATCCTCATGGCAAGCCAAGGTTGGTCAGCTGCTTGAAGCCGCAGACTTTTGAGCGGGGAAAGCATATCATCACAGAGGGTGAGGCGGGCGACAGCCCTTTTCTTTGCCAGCGCCTTGGTTCACGCTGCATGGAATCGAGGTGGGCGACAAGCTCTACATCATCGAGCGCTTAGGGCTTGGACTCGCAGATTCTGTGGGCGCACACTTGCGCTAAGTGACAATCACATCCCACGTTTCCGGCTTTTCTGAGCAGGTACACCACCAAAACTCCAGACATAAAGGACGAACATGAAGGATGCAGATGTGTCGTGTGTGATGGGTTTGATGTTACTGAGCAAGTTGTCGTTGCATGGTGTTCTTATAAGTAGTAGTATTCCTGTTACTATTGTTATTCTCTTTGTTGCTACTACTATTGCTATTACAGGAGTTAGTGTTCAGGGTTAAGGGAGATTGCGCTGAGGCCGTCAGGTTGATGCCAAGCCCTGTTGGCCCTACACCTGATACCAACAGCATGTGTCACCCCAAGGTGCTAGCTGACAAAGGTCCCTAGACCCTGTAATAGCAGTAGCATTAGTAAATCCCACATGAGTGCTCCTAGCCTGCAGCTGTCAAAAGTGTACGGAGTTTAAAGAAATAATTACGCTCCAGACCCCCATCTCCCCTAAAGTATTAAGAAGGATCATAGTACATCGGGGTCCCAATCTGGAACCCCCATCTCTGGAAAATCCGAGGTGGTGTTTGCGAAGTCCTGAAGAAGCTGAACGACCGTGAGGTGACTATCGGCCAGCTCAGCAAGGCCCATTATTATTCTGCTGGTTGCCGAAATCATGTTGTTTAGGGTTCAGCGTGAGGGCCCCAGATATCTATGATCCCGGTCCCCCGAACCCTTCCCCTCCCATGGTATGGTGCCCTGACCTGCAGTCCAGGACTCTCAAAGTGCAAAGTTCTGGTCGCGATTCTCGTGCCCGTCATCCCTTTTTTGATGTTGCAGATCTCAAAATGCCAGCAGTGACAAGGAGGATGGGTGTCTGGGTCGCGATCCGTGCGACTGTCATTTTTTTTGTGGTGTTGCAGATCTTATAGGTGCCAACAGCCTCAAGGAAGGTGGGTGTCCTGGTCACGACCCAGGCATCGGTCATTGCCTTCTGATGTTGCAGATGCCAAAGATGCCACAGTAACAGCGATGGCTTGTCCCCACCACCTACACCACAGGGGGAAAGAAAAAACACCCACACCACGGGCAAGGGAAAGAGCTGACCGACCGCCTGAAACGCTCAATGTTGAATGGCTACCGGCTTCAGACAATTCCATATCAGTTTTGTTTCCACCAAGAGGACAGTTCGTTTCTGCAGGGTGATAGCAATTGCAACTATGCTGAGAATTATGGGACGAGGAAAACCACCTACACCATAAGGGGGGAAGGGGGAAGGGCAAAGATCTGAATGGCTTCAACAACACAAAATTACGACAGTCATTGAAGTAAGACAACCTCCCGCACCACAGGGGAGGGAGAAGGTCTGAATGCTTTCATCAGAGAAACTGCTGGCAGTTTTGAAAGAAAAGCACCCACCACGCGGGGAAAGATCTGAATGAACTGACATTCATGGAATTCATGGCATACCGGCGGCAGCAGGAAAATTTGAATGACCTGAGCAACAGCAGATCTTGATGGACCTTTTGCAGCGCCTTTTCATTGGTGGGAGTGGGGAAGAGGGGGGCAGTTGAGTCTCGCATTATGGGGATCATTCCGGGAATACAAGAGGTTCGTCAGAAAGACCCATATGGGGCCTGTGTGCAGTCGGCCATTCGTACATACACGTATGGACATGTTCTATGCATTCAGCTTCGTGGAGTCTATGCGTACCAATGGCTTCGCAGGAATGTGTTCGTTTTTCATTCTACCTTGTGGTAGGGACGTACGTACTTAGGAATGCAAGAGGGCCATTGCGTGGATATTAGAGAGATTACCAGGGGGTGTATGTGAGGGTTCGGGGTGTAGGTTCAGGGCTGCTGGCACATGGGCCTAAAGATATATGTGAGTGTGTTCCATCTTTGCTGTGGCTGTAAATTGGCATATGCGCTCATGAGAGGCGGTTAACAGTAAGATGTTGAACATGTCAGAAGTGGTTGCTTGGGGGAGTATCGGTTCCTGCATTGAATTTGCATTGCTTAAACAACAGAAATTGTCTTGTCACAGTCAGGGTGCCTTCTTCGGCGAGATCGCAGTCCTGTACGACATGCCGAGAACCGCCACGGTGCAGCTGGCAGTAGGTTTGAGCGAAGATCTTGATGCCAAGATTTGGAGGTGAGAACGCAGACTGCAGTCATTGCCCTTGCCCTCAGCAGAGCTGACATCCTCCAGCAGCTGAGCGCAGAGGTCCCACCGAACCTGCAGAAACTGGAAGCCTCAAGCACACCCACTGACCTCGTCAGGACTTGGAGCGCATGAAGCTCATTGCACGAACGCAAGCCGCGGGCTTGTTTGCCCACCCACCCGTGAGTTGGTGTTTCAAGGGTTTGACTACGTTTGACTTTCGATTCCAAGAATGCCTGTAGCCGCAATGAGCCCAGGTCTTTGGCAGCGTGCCGTTGCTCGCGGACTTGGATGCGGAGAAGAAGGCCTGATGCATTAAACATCGAGCCAACAGCTTCGCTTGGCATAAGCCGGGTGGGCCGAGGCCAAAGTTGCCCTGGCGCTGAAGAGTCAGAAGCAGGGAGCCATAGGAAGCCCATGAAATTGAACACAGCAAGCCTGGGAGCACGGACGAGCAGAGCAGCGCTTGAAAGCTGGATCATATAAAGGTGGCACAAAGGAGCTCTTCTGGCTGGTCAGAATCACATAACGTCAGAGGCTAAATCTGGTGGTGCGCACGACATGCGATGGCTCCCTGTGCCGTTTCCTGGAGTGAAGACATGCAGGTCTCGGATGTACATCATCGAGCAAGGAAACATTCTCATGACCCCACCGAAGAGGCTTGGTTGTTAGGATGTGTCCTGGTCTGTGCGTGGTTTGTTTGCTGACTCGATGGACGAAGCTGAAAGCATACGTTGTCTGCGACAGAGCCAGAAGCCCACAACAGGAACAAGTCTGCCACTGCCGCGCAGGCTTGTGAGCTGAGACTCGTGCTGTAGGAAAGCATTCGCCTGTGCGACACTTCAGGAACTGCGCCTGGGACCCGGGCAGTACTTTGGGATGCGGGGACTGTCAGAGCCTCAGGCAGTTACCAAACCAGCCAGCATCCGGCTTGACTTGCCAAGCTCATGCTATTCCTAGGCTTTTTGAAGCACCCATGGGATTCACCATAACAGCAGACAGTGACGTGGTGTGAGCCTGAGCCGGGAAATTTGACCTGCATGTTGCGCAGCCTACGAAGCTTGTAGGTCATGACGCTGTCCATCAGTTACGAGGTTGATGCAGAAGACACAACGCAGACCCGTAGCTCCACAGGCTTGCACGATATTTGCTTGCGAGGAGCTGGTAAACACTGCCGGCCCGGAGCTTGCAGAAAGGCAGGAAATGGTTCGCTGCCTGGGAAAGCCGCTCCCAGCTGCAGCTGCAGCTCTGCTTGGCCTCGTGGCCAAGGCTGCCCGACTGCACAGATCCATTCGAGCCCATTTGGTGCGACAGCTGCTGGCTCAGAAAGGCCTTCTGGTGGAAGGGAAGCTGATGCCATGTCTTAGGATTCCTGCCATCAAAAGACTGGCAGATGAGAACTTCCAAGCGGTTTTTCAACAAGCAGAGGAGGCAGCGGGCTGTGGCCGACAATAAAGCCGCAAATGCATAATGTGGCCACGGCTACCAGCTTTGCACAGCCAACGGAAACGATTGTGTGGAGCGGCAGTCAGGGTGAACAGGCATCAGGATGCATCAGGTGCGAGGCAGACGCTTTCAAGGTGGGCCGTTAGCAATAACGGCAGGTATCTTTGAGGGATGGTTGCAGGTCAAATTCCAGAAGTGGAACGTGATCTTCAAGCAGAAGAGCTGCCATGTTTATGCATGTGCTGCGAAGCTCGCAGTTCCTCGGCATAGGCTTTTGGCATCTTTTGGCAATCCTGTTGCGGCCAGGGGCTCCACCTTGAGATATGTGCTTCGCTCAGCTTCTCAAGGATCTTGAGCAAGCGTCACCCCGGCAAGCCTTGAAGGTCTACGTGCTCGAGAACGGCAAGCTTTCCGAATATGGCGGCTTGCTGGACCAACTTGTCGAGTGCAATGGGCAAGCCATGCCCTCACTTCATTCAGTTTCAGCAGTCTGCCTACTTCGCACAAGCTGGAGCTGCGGTGTGGGTGAGCGTGTGCGCTCAGGTCAAGTTCAAGAAGTGGAATGTCATTGCAGACCAGCATCGCCTGCATGCTTGCCACATCTTGCAGCAAGTGTTGGACAAAGAGTGGGGCTCCTGACAGGGATGCCAGCTCGGAGTATGTCACGCTCTCAGCAAGTTAGGTCCAAGGTTGAGGCGCGAGAGATCTTTGAAGCTATTCTCGCAATTTCTTGCGAGGTCTACGAGCTCAAGTCTGGCCAGGTGGCGGTCTTTGATGGCGAGCTCGGGGAACGCCGGCCATTTGACCTGAAGGCCTGGCACGTAGAATTTCTTCTCCACAAACAAAAGGTAGGGGTTACTGTTACTGTGAGTACTGCTTGCGGCATGCGCAGGTCAGTACAGCCGAGGCTGCCAGGCTAGATGTCAACTGCTCTGAACTTAGATGTTTTAGAACAGACTTGCAGAGGCACGGATCTAGTGGCAGATTCCGTTTCCAAGGCCCTGAGCATGTGACTCCGGGCGAATACTTTGGGGCGGAGAAACTGCCTCAGCAAACTGAAATGCTTGAGATTTCATGCTTGAATATACAGCGAGGTGCCTGTCAAGCAAGAGTGCTATAGCGCCCTACACGCTTGTGGTTCTCAACTTAGCATTGCGACGTGAATCCCATGGTCTGCACCGCAAGGCAACTTTCCACATGAGCGGTGACTGCCCAACCTTCCCTTACTAGCTGTGGGTGCTAGAAGGGCTATTTGCAGCCATGTCTTTGCTAAGTGTCCAGGACTTGGAAACCGAGGCAGCAGATCAGGACACGCAAGAGCTGATGTGCCCCGATACGAGCGATGAAAAGCTGCGCTTATACGATATCAGGGAAATCACGGCCCTGATACATGCAAAAGCAAACTTGAAATTTGCAGACATGCTGAGCAGCAATCTGAACAATTACAGGAAAAATACCAGGCTTTGAGCATGGCCATAGTGTCCTTTGAGAATCCCGCACGTACAAGCTGCTGCATTGCCAAATGGCCTCAGCTCATGCACGACTATGGCGCTGAACACGATGCTGGTCGTGAATTAAACATGGAATTGTGACCAAGATCGAAGGCTAGCTTCGTGACACGCATTCCCGGGTGTACAGCTACGGCTTGAGGTCCACGTTGCCTCGAGGAATTTAAAATCCATTATCAAGCAGAACGTCAACTTGAGACCCTGCACAAACCTGGTTGCGCATCACCGTATTCCAGTATTCACATCACTTGAAGAACCGGGTAGAATCAGATAGACATGTTTCTGTTGATGTGCTGTTATGCAAGCACTGGTCGAAACCCTTGCCATGCTGGCAAAGGCCTTAACGGACGTAACGCTGATACGCTTTCCACCAAGCTCCATATGGCGAGGGCCTGAGTAATCCAAGTTCTAACAGCAGGCCATGTGAAAAGCTTGCATTGAAAAGCAGCGGTGGTGGCTGAAGCATCGCTGAAGCTGACCCGTGCTCAGGGCTGTTCAAGAGGAGCAGCGACAATTCCTTTCAAGGCCATGGGAGTGAAACGCAGCCCCAACCAAATAGGATCATTAGCGTAACACAGTGAGGTGATGCTGTGCCGTTTGCTGCCAGGATCCAGCTCTTCTCGGAAGACGTCCTGACAAAGGCCTTGCCACAGAAAATCGCGGGTCTCGGACTTGAGGATGTGTCTAGAGCACCGCTGCAAGGAAGAGCAGTTCATGCTCGTTGGCAAGCTGAAGTAAGCGACCAGTTTTTTTGATTCCCTTTATGGACGCTTGCTTCACAGCTTGTTTTCATGAGGCCATGGAGTTTTCCAGCAGGCAGGTACATCATCCAAGAGGGGGAGGCAGGCAGACTTTTTGCATAGGCTGTTCTGGCCATGTTTCGCAGTGCGACTCTCCGCAGATTGGTGACATGCTTTTCATCATTGAGCGTGGTGTCTGCGATGCCTGCAAGCTGCTGGCTGATCACGAGGTGCGAAATCATCATGTGCAGGTTTGCCGTGTATGTGTGTGATGTCTGCTTGCTGCATGAAGCGCAGCTCTTGGTGCACTTGCTTCATGGGCAAGGTGGTCTTGACACAGCTCAAGAAGGGAGCCTTCTTTGGAGAGCTTGCAACAATGTTTGCCACCCTGACATGATTTGAGCCGCGTGGGATTAGCCTGCACGTCGTCGGTCGCATGTGTTTTTGATGCAAGCTAGTGAAGTCTGGCACCAGGACATGCCCAGAACTGCTTCGGTGCGGGCAGCTACGCATGTGACGGCCCTCTCCCTCACACGTGAGGACGGGCCACGGTGTGGAAGATTTCTGGGGTGCTTCGGCTGAACGCGTAGGACATTTTCAGCCTCATCACCGAGGAAAAGATCACTAAGATGCACTGGCCTTCTTCAGCCTAGAGCATGATAGCTGCAGCACGATGAGCCTATCCAGGCAGATTCTGGCAAAGGCGCAGGCCTGGTGTTGGAGGTAGTTCGGCTTCGGGGCTTTCTGACTTTTCTCAGGTCTTTGGTAGCATCCCCATCTTGGCTGGCCTGACCGCCGCTGCCAAGAATACCATCGCCCGCAGGCCATGGTGGTTTGATCAAGGATATGGAGGATCAGGTTTGGGGGCTGGCCGGCAAATGCCGGCAACACTGCAGGCTGCAGCGCCAGTTCTTCCGCAAGGGAGAAGTCATTATTGATCCAGAGGATGTGGCAGACAGGCCAGGCAAAGCTCTCCCAAGTGAGTGGGGAATGTTGCCGTTTGCACAGGCTCTACATAGTCGAGTCTGGCTCCGTGATGGTGCAGTGTGGCGACGTGGAGAAGGTGCGGAGGTCTTGAAAGTTTGCAACTGCTATCCCATTCCGCCTGACAGGGACAGCTCCTGCTAGCTGGCATGTCTTTCGGCATGTGGGATGCCGAGTTTTCGCATGTGCACCCTGACAGTCTTTGCGTAGAGTTCTGTGATCCAGTGTGCTCAGGGACAGACTGCTGTATGAAGAGCCATATGACATCAAGGCCGGCATCGCAGGTTCACATGTGGTCCTTTGTTGCGGGGGATCAGTGGATCATCACGCAGGTGATTGCCCAGTCAGATGAGGCAAGTGCCGGGGCATGAAAACTGGGAGAGCATGGCTCCGACCAGGTCAAGACGCTGTCCTGCACTCTCCCGGACTGGGCGCTTCTGCACTCCTTCAATCAAAAAAGATCAGACTTATTGCTTAGGCAGTCATCCAGTCCTGTACAATTCCAGGACATCTTCGCTTCCGCGGGAACTGGAGAACAAGAAGCACTGGAGAGGTCATTATCTTCGTTTTGCAGAGCTAAGGTGGACTCATTCTTGCCTCATAATGAAGGCAGATCAGGAGAGCTTTGAACATGTGGCTACTCAAGAGTGCCTCAGTCCCAGAGCGAGCTCATGGGCCATGTAAGAACAGGTTTCTGTCAAGCTGCGTTGTCCATGAATCCTGCATGTAAGGTCTGCCTCCCCGGTGAGGCCACCAGAACAGCTGAGCAGAGGAATGTTTTGGCTCGTTACCTAAAGCTCTCCCTTGCAGTCTCCAGAAAGATTCTGAACAACACCGCAGTCTGATGACCGTCTGGCGACTGCTCTGCGGCATTGTGATGTGCTAGAGTTTGAGGCGGGTGCCAGAGCCTCATGTAGGTGAAACTTCACACATATTTGAAGGAAACATATCAGATGATTGTGCTTCACTGCCAACAAAACAAAAGCCCAAGGCTACTGTCTTCGAAGAGAAGGACGAGTTGAATTCCGCACCAAGCTCATCAGCTGCTGTTTGTAACATCTAAAACTTCAGGCTGTGTGTGGAGTGAAGGCAGTGTTGTCAATGTAGCCTGGTTTGGTTCCAAACTAGTCCTCGTGTCCGTGCATTTTCTGTTGAGCTAGTGCCCCATGTTTGTGAGCTGTTCTCAGGTCTACATTGTCATCCATGGTGCTTTCGAGACGCATTCGGCTGAGCATTCGCGGGATGCGTTTGCCCTTGCTCCAATTCAAATCGCATTGCCGGGGCAGCTTGAAGCCCTACATGGAACCCATGACTGTGAACCTTCCAAATATGGACTTTGGCCAAAATCTAAAGATGAAAGTCAAGCTATGCCAGCTTGATGCTGTCTGGTTGTCTGATCTGCCTCATGTGATGTCATGCTGATGACATGCATGGAGGATGCATTCTGCAAGGGATGGTTTTGATCATTATGGCTGATAGCTTGCCCAGGAAAGCCGTGAAGGTCCAGCACGTAGCAGAAGGCAGGCAATGTTGCCTCTGCTGATCATGGCAAGAGGATGCTGAGCGCATCTGCCAGTGCGTGGCAACCTTGTGAGCGCCTCCCCGGTGGCTTTCGGAGTGATTGCCTCGGAATGATAGAAGTCAGTTCAAGTGGCATCGGCAGCAAACATTTCAAAACCCCCGACTCCTTCCCCGTGGCTGATTAAGAGGGAGAGAGACGCCAGAGACAGGGGAGGGGAGGGGAGGGGAGGGGGGGGGGGG